CTCTCTCTCTCTCTCTCTCTCTCTCTCTCTCTCTCTCTCTCTCTCTCTCTCTCTCTCTCTCTCTCTCTCTCTCTCCTCCCTCCCCAACTCGACTACCCTTGAACACGGCCTGCCAAATGGTTTTACAACCAGATTCTGATCGGAACCACTGATTTAGGTTCCGAGTTTCTGATGGTCTATTAGACAATCCCTGCCCAGGGACTGAGCTTGCAGGGTCAAACAACAGCTCCTCAGCCCCAGCTTTTCGTTCAGTTTGTAGCTGTGTGTGTGTTAATGAACGTTTGATGGAGCCGGTCGGCCGAACGGACAGCACACTGGACTTGTGATCCTGTGGTCCCGCGTTCGATCCCGGGCGCCTGCGAGAAATAATGGGCAGAGTTTCTTTCACCCTATTCCCCTGTTACCTTTCAGTAAAATAGGTATGTACCTGGGTGTTAGTCAGCTGTCACGGGCTGCTTCCTGGGGGTGGAGGCCTGGTCGAGGACCGGGCCGCGGGGACACTAAAGCCCCGAAATCATCTCAAGATAACCTCAAGAAGAAGCAGCACGGGCTATGAGGAACCTGTGGTGAACTTGCAAATTAATAGAAAAACTAATACTTAATTAAAAAAAATTATTTTGTAAAAACTTTTTTTTTTTAGGCTTTACTGCTGACGTCATTGGTCGGCATTTCGACACTCTCAGTTTTCAGAACAGTTTTGTTCCTCATTTTGGGCGGTAATTGGGTAGTTAGTCTACGTCATACGCGCCATTTAGGCTGTGTTTGGGAGGGTTATAGGGAGGTCACCGGGTTATAGAGAGGTCACCGGGTTATAGGGAGGTCACCGGGTTATAGGGAGGTCACCGGGTTATAGGGAGGTCACCGGGTTATAGGGAGGTCACCGGGTTATAGGGAGGTCACCGGGTTATAGGGAGGTCACCGGGTTATAGGGAGGTCACCGGGTTATAGGGAGGTCACCGGGTTATAGGGAGGTCACCGGATTATAGGGAGGTCACCGGGTTATAGGGAGGTCACCGGGTTATAGAGAGGTCACCGGGTTATAGAGAGGTCACCGGGTTATAGGGTGGTCACCGGGTTATAGGGAGGTCACCGGGTTATAGGGAGGTCACCGGATTATAGGGAGGTCACCGGATTATAGGGAGGTCACCGGATTATAGGGAGGTCACCGGGTTATAGGGAGGTCACCGGGTTATAGGGAGGTCACCGGGTTATAGGGAGGTCACCGGGTTATAGGGAGGTCACCGGGTTATAGAGAGGTCACCGGATTATAGGGAGGTCACCGGGTTATAGGGAGGTCACCGGGTTATAGGGAGGTCAACGGGTTATAGGGAGGTCACCGGGTTATAGGGAGGTCACCGGGTTATAGGGAGGTCACCGGGTTATAGGGAGGTCACCGGGTTATAGGGAGGTCACCGGGCTATAGAGAGGTCACCGGGTTATAGGGAGGTCACCGGATTATAGGGAGGTCACCGGGTTATAAGGAGGTCAACGGGTTATAGGGAGGTCACCGGGTTATAGGGAGGTCACCGGCCACTCTCTCATCTGACCCCGTAGTACACAACAGTTTTGATGCTATCGACCCCAACGTTGAAATTGTGGTGGTTTATTAAAATTAGAACGTGGCAAAATTGACGCTTCCTGAAATGAAAAAAAAAACACCATAAACGATTGTTTAGGAAGTCCACTACGGGCTCACCATAGCCCGTGCTACTTGGAACTTTTTGTTCCAGGTATCGAATCTTGAACAACAACAGCGATTGTTTAGTGGGTTCATTTTATTTTTATATACAAGAGTTCATACAGTCTTGTACAGCCACTGGTACGCGTAGCGTTTCGGGCAGGTCCTTATAATCCTAATTTTCCCTGGAATACGACCCGCCAAATCGTTTATCAACCAGGTCCCCATTTTACTGTTGGGTAAACAGAGGCTACAGTTAAGGATTGGCGCCCAGTAAATCCTCCCCCGGCCAGGATACGAACCCAGGCCAAAGCGCTCGCGAAACGCCAGGCGAGTGTCTTACTACTACGCCACGGGGACTGCTAAGGTTGCCACAGAGGTTACTTTAGGTTATTGCGCTTCTGGGACAGGATTCGTCAAGCATTTACGAAACCTGTGCATCTTTTCTTAATCATGGCGGCTTTGTTTACACTTCAACATGAACTTCACATCACTACGAGGTTGTTTATAACAATAATATCCACGGCTTGTGAAATTTCAAAGCTCGTAAATTGTTGAATAAATATAACAAAAACCGCCATTATAAAGGGAAAGATGTAGAGGCTTCGTAAGTGGATGCGTAAATACGGGGTGAGTCCATGTATTGATGTGGGTTACGCGAACCTCAGTTCATGTCTTGCGGGGGTCAACAGGCAGGTGGCAGTCAAGGAATGGTGTGGGAAGGGCCTACAGGTAGGTAACACAGCTGAATGAATTTTCGAAATGAAAAATGAAAATGACTGTCACTGTATTCACCTAGTTGTGTTTGCGGGGGTTGAGCTTTGCTCTTTCGGCCCGCCTCTCAACTGTCAATCAACTGTTTACCAACTGCTTTTTTTTTCCACACCACACACACACACACACCCCAGGAAGCAGCCCGTGACAGCTGACTAACTCCCAGGTACCTATTTACTGCTAGGTAACAGGGGCATTCAGGGTGAAAGAAACTTTGCCCATTTGTTTCTGCCTCGTGCGGGAATTTATGACTGTGGGAAGGCGGAGAGGAGACAGATGGAACAGGAGGAAAGAGAGAGAGAACGTCTAGTTTCTTGGCTGGTTCTTTCACCACCCTTCTATTCCGCCCCCCATGCCCACCCCCATCTGTCTATCGCCCCCTCCCCCTCCCTCTACCAACACTAGCATCTCAACAACCACTCCCCCACCTTCCCATCTTAAATCCCTACCATCCCTATCCTTGTCCCACCCCAACCCACGTTCATACCCCCCCCCCCCCCATGAAGAACCATACTTCACAACAAAACGATACAATTCACAATATCGACGACAAGAGAAGAGATTACATTCACCAGACAAAAATATCCCACGGATCAAAAAGTCGACAACAAGTCCCTAATAATTAAATCAGTGAAGGAAGATACACTAAAGTGGAAGATCCGGTTAGACGAGGGTCAACCGAGCGCTATAAATATTTCCTCTCGTGGAGGATGTCTGCATTTTAGATGTGACAACAGTCTAGAGCCATCTGGATGGTCAATTGGTCCTAGGCTCTCGTCTGCCGTTGCCTGGATACTCCGATTGGGGCAGAGCGTGTCAGCGTGGCGGTCATAATTAGGCATAGTTTTTTAGATATTCACTCGGTGGCGCGAGTGAAGGAAATGCTGTATATTGGGATGTCCGTAAGGCAGGTTGAAAGGGTATGGTAAGCGCTGATAATTTAGCGAGGTGGTGCTCTTCAAGTGTGTATATCCGGCGCAATACTTGTATGTGGGCGTGAGCCTGCTTGCTTGCTTGCTTGCTTGCTTGCTTGCTTGCTTGCTTGCTTGCTTGCTTGCTTGCTTGCTTGCTTGCTTGCTTGTTTGCTTGCTTGCTTGCTTGCTTGCTTGCTTGCTTGCTTGCTTGCTTGCTTGCTTGCTTGCTTGCCTCTCTGTGGTTTCAAGCAGCGAGGTGTGTGTGTGTGTGTGTGTGTGTGTGTGTGTGTGTGTGTGTGTGTGTGTGTGTGTGTGTGTGTGTGTGTGTGTGTGTGTGTGTGTATGTGTGTGTGTGTGTGTGTGTGTTTATGACAGGTGATGTGGAGGCGTCTGAAAGCAGACGTCCGTGCTCCGTCAAGATACTGAGGTGTCGTCTCTGATTTACGGGGCTATTCAAGCCCGTGCCACCTCTTGGATGGCATAATCTTCACCAATCAATAAATCTAAGCTGATAGCCACACCATGTCTAGATGTGGAAGCGTCGTCTCCAAGCTGAATTCTCCGTAAAAAAAATCTAACGTTCGAACCCAATTAACTCCCCTAACCTATCCAGACCAATACATTGTAAACGTCCATATTGCGAGGCTATAATTTTGACTAACACGTCGTATTATTAACGGAATGGGTTGATTCCGTTCAAGAATACGACGTATTGAGAGGACAGACTGGAAAATATATGAACAGTCTGGATCTGGAACCAATTACACTCTGTGGCCGACTGGAAAATTGGGGTGAATTTACTCTTTGGTAAAAAGGCTAATGTGTGATATAAAAGATAAGGTGGGTTATGTATTTCCGCTTTGGGAGCAACTGTGCAGAGTGGGGGAGGATGGTACTGCTTGCTTCCTGAAGCACTGACCGGCGTGCATCCATCCTTAAAGCATATGTACTGCGTGCATCCATCCTTCCAGGGTATGTCCTATGTTCTTCCATCCTTCCAGACTGTGTCCTATGTTCTTCCATCCTTCCAGGGTATGGCCTATGTTCATCCATCCTTCCAGGGTATGTTCTATGTTCATCCATCCTTCCAGGGTATGTTCTATGTTCATCCATCCTTCTAGGGTATGTTCTATGTTCTTCCATCCTTCCAGGGTATGTTCTATGTCCATCCATCCTTCCAGGGTATGTTCTATGTTCTTTCATCCTTCCAGGGTATGTTCTATGTACATCCACCATTCAACAATCCCAGTACTTACCGCTACCACAGTATGGATGAAATGCTGAACTGTACACGATATGAACTGTTGCCCCCCCCCCCCTCCCCCCCTCCCCCCCCCGGTCGGGCGTTCAATCCCCGACCGTCCAAGTGGTTGGGCACCATTCCTTCCCTCCCGTCCCATCCCAAATCCTTATCCTGACCCCTTCCCAGTGCTATATAGCCGTAATGGCTTGGCGCTTTTCCCCCCTGATAGTTCCCTTCCCTTCCCCTCCCCCTCCTCCTCTTGCCCCATCGCCCCCCTCCCCCCACCAGTACCAATGCACCAATGCACAACAAAATAACACATGAACCTAACGTAGCCAAGGGCTAAATCCTAAATAAGGAATTTGGGGCCTAATATATATCTTCCTTCGTTTCTTCCTTCCTTCCTTCATTCCTTCTTTCTTTTGAGTAATTTACAAATTCATGGTACAGTGGCCCCTTGTCTTTGTATTTCATTCTTTGCGGGGTCCACTTTAGAGGGCCACTTGGGCCACTGTATTTGTTTCCTTGTGGGAGCCACTTTGGCCCAAAACACAAGGACCACGGTGGCCCCCCGGGCCTCTAGGGCCGACCAGTCCAATCGGACGTTGTAAATCATATGTAAATAAGTCTTATCCGAATTTAGTGGCCCATAAGCCCTCTCTCTCTCTCTCTGGCCGGCTTGATGAAGGTTGGCAGACATTAGTCATATTTAATCCGTTTTATCCGAATTTAGTGACCATGATCCGTTCTCGAGGGCCCTTATACACAGTTTCTAGGAGGGGGGAGATGGGGTTATCATCCGGCCACTGCGGGTGCCATCCGGCGACTGCGGGTGCCATCCGGCGACTGCGGGTGCCATCCGGAGTTCTCTGTTCTTGTGTTCTTTTGTTCAATTTAAATCTAATCAGGTCAAGATATATTTATTACATTTAACTTAAATATCAGGAATAAAAGTTCACAATCTGGGGTTTTATTAGGCTTTTTTGTCTTTTTTTTTGGGGGGGGGAACATTATCGCCATTTTAACTTGTTACTTTTTTTATTTACTTTTGTGTAGTCTGTGAAACTTTTGTGGAAATAATGCAAATATTTGTTATACATTTTGTGATCTCAGGTTTTTTTATAGTGTTTATATTATCGTCCTGAGTGGCTTCTTTGTTTAGTGTGTGCTGTTGTGTCTCGTCCTCTGGTCTATCACCCGGACCGTCCGGTCTATCGCCGTACAGGCCAGCCAGGTTCCTGTCTATCAGCCAGACGCGCATTTCGTCTCTGCATTTCCTTAAACAGTGACATAAAACTATTCCGTCAATCTCTAATGGCTTGTTATGATATAGCATGTCAACATTAAGCTTAAATGACCAGATATATTATCTTGAGAGAGGGAGAGGGAGAGGGAGAGAGAGAGAGAGAGAGAGAGAGAGAGAGAGAGAGAGAGAGAGAGAGAGAGAGAACAGGTGAACATATATTAATATAATCACTGAAGAATATTGTGTGTAAAGCTTCCTTCAAGCACTCTGTAAGTCCCCGTCGCCGCCTCGACACGGCACACGGGAATCGCAAGAATAAATCGGTGATTTCCGGGGGTTTCTATGCAGTTTTGACGTTTGACGAGTCAGGAAATAGCAAGCGTGCATAGTGGTTACGCGAGCAATAACATGAGATATTTCCTCAACTATATAATGCATCAGAAGACAGCTAGCTGCTCCTGCTGTCTGCTAAGGTCAAGGAACTTTACCTGCGGTGAGGACTTTTGACGGACAACGGCTGTTGTCGCCTGGGTTAGGTTAGGTTAGGTTAGGTTAAGTTAGGTTAGGCCTGGGTTAGGTAAGGAAACTTAACAGACGTTGAGTGTGAGAGATCGAATCAGTTCTTTCATTAAATTCCTTGATTGTTGCTCCTATCCCAACTCCTATTTATTTATAGGAGTGGCCTCCTATCGTCGTATTCTTAACCGTTGGACGAATCCTTGTTCAAGACTGACTTCCCCATTCTTAATTCTTTTGTACCAAACTCTCTTTCTACCTATGAGGTTCTTCAGATAATTTGCTATCCATTTCGGGTCATTATTATTCGATCTTTTCAATTTGTATGGTATACTAACGTTCCTGTGATTGGCTTAGAATAATATATATATATATATATATATATATATATATATATATATATATATATATATATATATATATATATATATATATATATATATATATATATATGCGAGCAAGCTTGAATGGCGCCTAAGCCAATATGCAACTGAAAACTCCACACCTTCTGGGATGTGGAGTTTTTAATTATATATATTATCTGACTACATCTGAAGTTTCTTGCTATACGATTCTATTGTATCCTCCCCCCTCCCCCCCCCCCCCTTTTTTTTTTTTACCTTCTAGAGACAAGGGACATTGTTAAGCAGACGAACATCCATGGCCTCTGGCGTGTTTCTTGTCAGTCTATCGTTCCAGCACAATTCTGTATATAAAAAAAGGAACGTTCTCACGCTATGAGTACGTGTTCGCACGTTCTCGTCACCTACCTGTTCCTGAGAGACGCTGAGACACCTGTCCTCACTGATTTTGATATATTTTGTATTAACATAGATACGTCTGCAATTGTCCTGTCCCCCCCGGTCGAGGTCACTAACGATAAGGCCCCCCAGGTAATTCAGGTTGACGAGGAAGAGTAACCTCCACGTGTAAATTGTGATGCATTATGGGGATATGGTTATTATTGTTCTTCAAGAACACCAGAGTGGGTAAAGGAATTACTAAGCTCCGCGCTCCTCATACGAACAGGTCTGATGCAACATTTAATGTTTTTCTGCAAACTTGTTAGATAGATTGTTCGATAGATAGATAGATTAGTTAGATTGTTCACTTGTCACAGTGAACGTCGACCAAATTCATCAATGAGGCATTGCGTTTTTTGTTTTTACCTGTGAAGCGTGGGACTTGATTTCTTCTTTTCCGACTCGCTATCAAAGACAATACAAATGATTAAATTCAGTCAAACCGTCACAGATGCATGACGACTCTGCTGCGTCTTGGGTTATGGAGAGTCACACCGGACTCGGAGTTTGTTAAATAAATGTGAGGTTCGGCCTCATACGCCTGGGGATCCACGGTTCAAGTCTCCTACAGCCCCAGGTGAATGGCCTTTGTTGGTCAGTATCTTACCGCTGGGTTAGTTAGTCGCTGGTAATAACCGTCGCTGGATTTGTTTGTTGCGCGATTTGACCGGCGTTAACGTTCGTTATTGTTAGTTGTTAGTTACTGGGGTAAATACATATGTATACTTATGTCTTCATATAAAGAACTACCGCATTCCAGACTCTTTATGTTACGGACATCGTCAGCAAACTTCATGTCACGGTGAAGAAGGGGGGGAATAATATATACATTTTATTTGATTGCTAAGTAAAGGTACAAAAAAAAAAGTCTTCTTGAACGATAACATATAGAATCATGGAAAGATGACATCCCTTTTTTGAATTTTCAAAAATTTAAAATGTTAGCGTCGGTTTGCCCGCCAGCGCTGTTCTGGGAGCCTGGATACCGGTGCACTTCCTTTCGTGTCGTCCTGCTATTAAATCCATCCATCCATCAGCCATCTTTGCTTCAACTGTCGTTTCTCGTACAATTCAATATATGAGAAACGTTAAATATATCAACACTTAGTGGGCCAGCCAGAGGCTTAGGGCCCGCGCAGGAATATCCCTGCAAAAAAAAAAATAAGAAACGTTAAATTAAATGTACTTCGATCGTTGGAGATTTGAAATCGGGAACTCAAAAGTACGAAAACCCTGTTCAATTCCACAGGTTGCTCGAATTGAACAGTTCCACGTTCCTGTTCTCCCAGCAGTAATTCGTTACCTGGTTATTAACCGATTGACAGGTTGTGTTCTGTAGGGAACTAGAGGATAAGGCTTACCATGAGCTACGGTAAGTGAAAGCTCTCAGCCTGCTGACAGTGAAGTGAAGCCATCTACTCCTGTAGCCACCACCTGTGACATACACAAACACGCCATCCACGTCTGGATCTCAACCCAGTTATAAGACTAGGTAAACAGTCCTCTTGGTGAGTTGTCCTGTGCTAACATGTCAAACATTTCCTCCCTGTTTGCCCACTGCCTTGTCTATCATCGTTGTTTACACTCTCTTACACTAAGCCTTCCTAAAGCCTCAGAATATTCAACAAACGAGTTGTTGTTATGGAAAAGACGTGGACGTACCTTAGGCTACATGAAAGATCACATAATTTGTGATACTAAAATCCTCGTCTCGCAGGATTTGTAGTCGAAAATGCCACAATATTAGGTACACACTAATTGGCAGTGGAACACCACTGACTGGAAGATCAGGTGTTTAATACACATATTAAAAATGCTTCAGGTGTCACTGGTTGCATCCGAACTTACCGGCTGTTGGTGGTGGTGGTGGCAGAGGCTGCGATGTTTTGTAGCCCGTCGCTACGTGAAAAATGGAATGCAGATAGTGCCTTAATCCGTCAAGCCTGGGTTGGGGTGGGTGGGGGATCGGTCAGGCTGCGTGTGCTTTGTTTATGTCGAATTGCACTCGCTGGGAGAAAAATGGATGGGTAGAGAGAGAGAGAGAGAGAGAGAGAGAGAGAGAGAGAGAGAGAGAGAGAGAGAGAGAGGGAGGGAGGGAGGAATAGGAACAGACAGGTAAATATAGAAAGAAAAACTAGATTGCTTAGTGAGTTTATAATAGAGAGAGAGAGACAGACAGACAGACAGAGACAGAGAGACAGAGACAGAGAGAGAGAGAGAATAAAAGGGAACAAGGGAGGCTCAGAGGCAAAATATAAAAGGATAATGGAGGAAATAAGGCAGA